ACCGACAGACATAATCGTAATTGTAGCACTAGACTGTCGAGTAGAGTACCTGTCTTAGTCTTTGACAAAAGATGTAGAAAAAAGTATTGGGATACGTAGCATATGAATAAGCTCAAAAAACTTGATGTATGAGCTATATGATGGGATAATTTTATTTTACTTATTTTTAGTTTATTTCTTCTCTGCAAGAAAGACAAAGGTCAGGGAACTACAAGGGCCCAATGCCTCGGTCCACCCCAGGCTCAGCCAGCCTGGGTCACAGGCATGTGAACCTATGTCTCCTGTGCTTAGGAAGGTCTTAGAACACAAACTCAGGACCTTTCCAGTGTGGGTCCAGTTGCTTCACCACTGGGCCACCACTTGGCCCCAATATTTTGACATATTAATCAGTACGCTTCTCTCTCCCTTGACCCCTATCCAGATACAGGTGAGCTACCCACTGCACAACTGGATCCAAGGACTGCCGATACTAGACTGGAAAGTGGGCCTAAGCACAAGCAGATGTCCGTGCATGCCAGAGCAGCATCCTGTGGACCGAGAAAGAGAAAGGGAAGGTAAGAGCCAAGGACCACATAAAAGGAGCACAAGAGTACACTCAGACCTCTGCCAGAACATGGCCATCTGCCCAGAGTGCCAAAGACAGCCACAAGTGTCCTTTCTGTCATTGATCTGTGGAGACCATCAAGTGCTCAAAGACCCTTCAGTTCAGGGATGCCCGTCTGTGCCTCAAGACTCTTCTCAGCCCCCATTGACTTCATCCCATGTAGACAATTCTGTCAAATAGCCAGGACATTTGTATTATATCCCTTCCCTACATGGAGGCACTCTGGGCCCTTGGGGGGGCAAAGAGGTGGTGGCCATGTAAAGGGGAAGCCTTGAATCGAGATTTTCTGCTGAAACAGAAGGTATGTCAAAACACACATCTATATCCAGTGTGCAGTGGTGGGATCAGCACACCCCACGCAAGCTGCCCCTGAGGCCTCCGTGGAACTGAGCAATCAGATTCCTAGCTCCTGTTCAATTCCCCCGGCTGGTTCTCCCCACCTCTTGTGTGAATCTCTGGGCTGCCTGACATCCTCCTCCAACACGTTCTCTTCTAGCTTACATAGGCTTGAGTCAGCTCTGTTATTAATAACCTCAAACCCTGGCTAGTCTTCACAACAAAAAGAAAGAAGCAATGCATAAGACTAAAGAAATAAAGGAGAGATCGATAACAATGATAAATAAATTTAAAAAAAACTTAAAACACCAATGAAATCAGCAAACCTCCAGTGAATCTAATGACTGAAAAAAATTTTAGAAAGATCACCAAGAGTTTTGCAAAGGAAAAAATGTATATGAAAGTTTCCGGAATTTAAAAATTCTGAGAATATGAACTCCTACACTACATTTGATTCAATAAGGAGATAAATTACCAAAATGAATGGAAGTAGGAAACGAATATACTACCAACTGTGGAAGAAATTTCTTGGTAATGGGCAGAAATAAGGAAGAGAAGGTTAGGGAAAGCTTAGTTTCTGGCGGAAGCTCAGAGAAAGAATGCTTTAGAAATAAACTGGAACCTGGGGCCGGCATGTGGTGTGGTAGTTAAGGGCGCTGGACTCCCACATGGCTAACCGTGGTTTGAGTCCTGGACCTGGTGGCTTGCTTTCTCACTTCTCCTCTCCCTTCTCTCACTCTGGTCCTCTCTGGTCAAATTTAAATAAATAAATAAATAAATAAATAAATAAAGTTAAATAAAATTAAAAAAAAAAAGGAAATGAACTGAAACTTTTTTGAAATTTGTTAAATGATGACAACCTAAATGCTGCTAGAATTATTGATAGTAAAGGCTGTTGTGGGGAGGTTTCAAAGGAAAAGGAGAGTATTTTATTGAAAATGGGAGGTAAGGTCATCCTAGTAACCACCATAGTAGGAATTTGGCTGCAAAATGTCCATGTCCTAGGGCTTTGTTTAATTTTGAATTTAAGAGTGACAAAGACCTGGCAGATCAGATTTCAAAGTAAAATATAGCAGGGACTACATGATTATTGTTAACTGCAAAAAATAAGATGCAAGCAGAAAGAAATTACTAAAAGTCAGAATTTACAACGAAAGGGAAGCAGAACAGAAAAACTTAGAAAATTTACTGGCTGGCTATATGACAAAGAATGAAAATGCATCTTTTGCAGTGAGAAGTGTGGCCAAGAGGGACCAGCAGTTGGTGTAATGGCTATGTCGCTGGACTTCCACATAGTTGACCGTGGTTTGAGTCCCGGACCCAGTGGCTTAAACTCACGCCAAGCGCGTGTGCATATGTGCCCAAGATCCCAAGAGGAGAATGGAGAAGGGATTGCAGCATGGCCATCCCCCCCCTGGGGGGGGTGATTTCTCACTTTCTGTCTCTCTGTTTCTCTGTCTTTCTGGCAAGCGCAAATGCCCTATACAAAAATCTCTCAAAAAAAAAGTGTCACCAAGAAACTGGTTGCTAAAGGGAGTAACAGGATAGAAGGGATCCAGATGATAATGGTCAAGAAAATGAGAGAAATGCCCTGAGGGTATTGGCTCTCCTATCATAACCACAGATACCTAGGAGAGGAGAGTGCTTTAAAGGCACTGGCCCAAGTCTCACTTGTTGTCTTGAGCTGCTGCTTGGAGACTCCGTGTTCCACAGCCCCAGCTGTGTTTAAAGTGGCCCCAGGTGGAGCTCAGCCTGTCCTTCAGGCTGCTGCTTCACCGTGTTCCCGAACGTACAAGTAGCAGGTGCTAGCCTTGTGCATGTGAAGGAAACTCTGTAAGCTATCAGGATTCAAGAACATGGAGACCTCCACTAAGAGTTCAATGAACGCATGAAAAAGCCTGGGCATTTAGGCGGAGGCTTGCTCCATGGGCAAGGCGGTGCTCCCATTAATATGAAGCCACATGGAAACATGGGACTGAAGTAGAGAGTACCCACCAGGAATGTTAAGCCCGGGGGGGCTACTGAGGTGGGTCTGCCCTGGCGAACCCAGATCTGTGGAGTTATCAGTGAGCACTGCTAGTGTGAGATACTACAGCCAGGTTCCTCCAACTGAAGGCGTGAACCATGAACTGAGCCGAAGGGGCCCAGGAAACAAGGCTGCCTGATGTGTCAGGGCCCAACTCCCTCAGTACATCCAAGATGTAGCACGTGGAGTTTCAAGATCTAATATCTGCCCAGTTGGATTTTGGATTCACATGGGGCCTGTTACTCCTTTCTTCTGGTGGAATGGAAATTTCTTCTCTGAGCCTGTGGCACTATTACATTTCGGGAGCATGTAACTTGTTTGGTTTCACAGGCTCATAACAGGAAGTTGCCTTGAGTCTTAGATGAAATTTTGGACTTTGGAGACCACAGGGATGATTTTTGTATGGAGAAGTACATGAATTTTCGAGTTCAGGAGTGGAATGCTGTGGTTTGAATATGTGCTCCCAAAATTAATGAGTTCAGCCATTGTATTGGGATTAAGAAGGTGAAACCAATCTGATTATAGTATCCAAAGGTGGGAGGAGATTAGTGATTGGGGAGCTGGGGAGGAGGGGCTTCATGAATGAATTTTGATATGTGTAGGGAGAAAATGAAGAGAGAGAAGGTCACATGGATTTAGCCCATGCTCTGCTCTGCTGAAAGTTCTGCCTCCCACCATTTTTGGACTTTCCAACGACCAGGATCGTGAGTTTTGCCAGTAAACCCCTATGTCTTTTTTTTTTTTTAAGAATTTTTTTTATTTAACTTTATTTATTTAAATTTGACCAGAGAGGAACAGAGAGAGAGAGAAAGTGAGAACGCAAACCGCCAGGTCCGGGACTGGAACTGTAGTCAGTCGTGGGAGTCCAACATCCCCAACCACCACACTACCTACCAGCCCCCTAAATCCCTATTTCTTTATAAATTCCCCCAGGCTCAGGTGTTTCTGCTGGCATCACAATAATGGACAGAGAGGCTGACTAAACCATCTGGCACCTCCACTCAGTTTATGTGTTTTTTTCCCATTATCAGAGGAAGAAAGTTGATTCCAAATGCCCATGCCCTCCAAGCACAAGTGAGAATACTGAGGCCACAGAGAGTGAAAGTTATTCACACAGTCCTTAGGATGAAGTCAGGGAGGAGGACTCAAATCCAGTTGGAGCTATGAGCTAAGGGCCAGGGTCAACACAATGTTTTCTGGTCCTGGCTGGGTCTCAGCTGTGGGCGCATTGACCTGTAGACCTTGTGCAGAATGACATTGTGTGACTGAAGGAACGTGGTCCCTGGTCTGGAGAACTTTCCAGGGCACAGGGTCGTTTCCGATTCCTTGGAGATAGATGCTTTTGATGCAGTTGACAGTAGGCTCCGCCACCAGGGTGAGTACCATGTTTACAAGTTATTTACCCAGTAACTCTCTTGCTCTGGGAGGACCCGAATCGTTTTGACAGATAGCATGCAGAACACTGCCTGGGAAAAAACAGCCTCGCTGCTCAGAAACTGCTTCCTGTTACCACAGGTCCTCTGTCCTGTTGCATTTCTGTCCTTTCCTTAAAAATAGGCACCTACTGAAAAATATGCCGGAGGGAGGCGACGTTGCCGGTGAGCAGAGAAAGCAGGTTTCACACCAGATCCTCGAAGCACAGAGATGTGATCCTTTTCCCCCAACCTGTGATGCCTCCCTCCCTGCGCCCGAGTTGCTGTTCTGTGCGGCTCTGCTTCCCCGACCAGGGGGACAACCCCACCACCAGCTTCCCAGGCCGAGGCTCCTCCAAGTCTCCACGCAACAATGAAGCGTGGGCGGCCCCAGCGGCTGCATTTGCATACCGCCGCGGCTTGGCCAATGGGCTGCGTAGGGGCTTTGGAACGCAGTGTTGCCATCTGCGTGCGCGCGTGTGTTGCGAGTGTGACAGCGACTGTGGCTGGGGCCGGGGCGGGGGGGCGGGGGGGGGGCGGGCCCGGCGGAGCCCAGCCGCGCTGGGACCAGCCCGCGCGTCCGCTCTCCCAGAGCGTCGGGCCATTTGGCTTTTTTAGACCTCGCCGCCCCGGCCGGGCGCAGTCGCGATGTCTGTGGCCGGGCTGAAGAAGCAGTTCCACAAAGCCAGCCAGGTAGGGAGGCACAGAGGAAGGAAAGAGGAGGACTGGAAGGCTGCGGGCCCCGAGGCTTCCAGGCCTTTGGGGTTCTGTCTCTCTGAGGGGCCTGTCTTGGGGCTCGATTTCTTCCCGCCTAGGAGGGCGCGAGGGTGGGGTGAGGGGCCCGCCTGCTCTCTCTGCTCCTTGGCGCCGCCTCCTTTCCCATCTCGGGCTCAACCTTGGACCGCTGTAAATCTAAAAGGTTCTGTCCCAGGGGACAGAGGTGACAGGTCGCAGGGTCTCGGTGCTGGAGAAAGAGTGGGCGTGGGGAGGCCGGAGGCCTCCTCCAGGCGCGAGCTGGGAGGATGATCTTAGGGAGTACGACGCCAGCAGGGCTTCCTTCGAGTCCCCGGCCTTTTGGTTGGGGGCGTCTCGGGGGACACGTCCTGCTGCCTCTCAGCGACCGCACCAGTTTTGGTCCCTCCCGGGATGCTGTATACTTGGCGGGTGGCTGGGTCCCCTGCATTTCCCTCGTGCGCCTAGAAATGGGCCCCCAGCTAGACTGCGCCGGCTCCCCCGTCTGGGCTCTCCGCTGCCTCCTTCCCCTCCCCGCCGTCTTCCCTGTGAAGCCCTGGGACTGCACTCCACTTTCTGCTTTCTGAGCTGATGGTCTAGTGGGGGAAACACAGAAACAGACACGTAAACAAACAGTGCTAGACACACCTCCACGCACAGGGGAGGGCAGACAGCACAGTGGGGGCGTCAGAGAATGCTTCCTGGAGGAGGAGAATCGCCATTTGAGAATGAAGTATGGTGAAGGAATTGTGGTTGGGTATGGGAGGAAAGGAGAAAAGACATTCTGAGCAGAGCAAGCAGAAAACAGGCGGAGACTCGACTTGGTTGGGTATGTGTATGTTTGTGTGTGTGCGTGCACCTGTGTGTTGACAAGCGAATTTGTTTTCAACATTGCAGGCTCTTCCTGCTGTGGCAGAACTCCTTTGTAAAATCTATTCCCCACCGGCATCACCAGATAGGTTGCTCGGTACACCTCCCTCCTCCCAGTCCCAATTTTGCTAGAACCAGGGTAGACAAATTTCACCGGGAATCTACACTAATATGAATTCTTGGCCTCTCTCTTCCACACTCTGGCTGGTGATGAGCAGCTGGAAGTAGAGGATTCCCTTCTAGACTCAGTGCCAGGCTGAGAGACGGTGCTGCTGTCTTCTCATACTGTGTCCACGAGAAACTAGGAGATGCTCTGTTTCTGGCTGGGGGCTCTGGGTGAATACTGGTGCTATTCAGGGTGATCGGGAGCCCCCCAAGGAGGGTCCAGCTGGGCGAGGGCAGAGATGGTAGGTTCGCCACTCCACCTTGGCACTGTGAAGGGTCCATGAGACATTCAGCTGTCACTGGTCTGGGGCAAGTGCGTTTTCTGACCTGTGGCTCAGGAGGTGAGGCCAAGACAGGAGCTACAGATTTGGGGGTTTTCCAGCCTAAATGGAAAGTTACAAACATAAGGACAGACCAAAGTGAGACAATGTACAGCAGGCTAGATGTAGACTCCAGGGAGCACTGTCCCCCCATTTAGGGACAGTGTTCTGCTCACTACGTATGAGCAATGGCCGCTGACATGTTTACTGAGTAAAGAAAAACTTTGGGATGCAACAACACAGGAAGGAAAGAAGTAGGATGCAGGAGAGAGAAGAGTTAGAGAAACCCCCGGTGGGGGTGCGTATAAGGGCAGGGGGAGCAATCAACAAGTGCCCTCAGTTTAGGCAGCCAGGACGTCGAAAGCTAGGATGGTCCAGGAGTTGCCAGAGAAATCACCGGCTGTCCTTGTTACCCTGCCTCCCTTAGCACTGCCAGCGGGAAAACCTCTTCTCCTGAAATGTTTCCTTTAACTGGGAAACATTTACATGTACATAGGAACAAATTTCAGAAGTAACTAAGACATAAGCCCATGGATGGTTTAGGGGCTTCTGACCACTAACCAGAGTGAATAGTTAAAATCCTCAGACGTTATTCGCATTGGAGAAATACTGTGTTAGCGATGGGTAGTTTGGCTTAACCTGCCATAATCAGTCCATTAAAAACGAAATGAGCAGAGGTCTACTTTTAGCCTATCCCCTCCCCCCTCTTTTTTTCCATGAACTGAAATAATTCGTGACTTTATCTGGAAGGAGAGACATCACAGATTCTCTCTGGGCTTTCTAAACACGTTTTGTAGTTGAAGTGCCCAAAAGATACACTTTAATCTATTCTAGAAGCCTTTCTAGGAAACCCTGTAATGCAATAGATTTGATGGAGAATTCAAGCTGGGTTTAATACAGTAAGAGGGAGCATGATAATGAAAAATGCCAGATACTGTTCTCAGACATGTTAGCTGTGGGTTTTAATGTATGCAGAACTTTCTCAGGGCCAGGGGAACGGGATCTTGCATGATGTCAATGGCTAAGTAATTTCCACGGCTCCAGGCCTGGTTTGACCACGACCAGCTCTGTGACTCTGGGATTATGATTTAACCCATGTAGACCGTGGTTTTCTTTCTGTACAGTGCATTAGTGCATTTAAAAGCTACATTCCTGTTGTAAACTTGATTGAGGTGATGGTTGCATAACTCTGGGAATATGCTAACAACCGTGAGACCATATACTTTAACAGGCGAGTTGTGTGATACCTCTGTAAGTCCACATATGTGTGTATGCATGTGTGTGTATACATGTTCTGAAATTCTAGATAGTGGTGAAGAGGTCTTTTAGGAATGGTAAAGATAATGTGGTAGATATTCCACAGATAAGGGCACCAGGACGTGGCACACTGAGGTCATTTTTCTCAAAGATAATCAAGGTACAGGTACTTAGAAGTTTTGGTTAGCTGGTCGTTCTATGCTGATATCTTATCTACCTCTGAGCAGTCCCTCTCCAAAAAAATCTCCTTGCTTTACAGAGAATGAAGACCTGTAAGCCCCGGGGGGTTGTGCATTGTTTTGTCAGCACAGGAAGAATTAAGAGGGCAGAGGAATAAATAAACTAAAATGAGAAGAGCCCAAGTTGCATTAGTAACAACATTTAGTTAATTTTTTGCTTCAGCATTTAGGACTAGAGTTCAAGTCTTCAGAGTTCCTAATTAATTTTTTTTTCCTCGAAAAGATTTTTTTAATAGAGCTGTTTTCTACTGGTAAGGATACAGTCTGAGCTCTTAGAAGTAAGTACAAATCATTTAGAGGTGGCATCGTGGTTTCTTGTAAAATGTGGTATGTGACCAGTAAAAATATTACTTACAATTTTTACATTCAGGTTAGTGTTACCACTCATTAATATGTATTTGTTATGATTCTTTATTAAAAAAACATTGCCAGAGGGTATATGTGCTTGCCAGAAACAAAGACATAGAAAGTCAGAGAGAGGGAGAAAGCACCCCTCCAATGGGGCATGATCACATCGCAATCCCTTCACTTCCTTTTCTTCATCCTGTCAGGATTTGAGGCATGTATGCACATCCTATGGCATGTTTTTCAAACCTCCGGGACTGGGATTTGAACCATGTTTGGTCACGTGGGATCCATCTCCCTTAACCATTAGGCTATGGGGCTGGTCTGTAAGTAAATGTGTTTGGACAGAATTATCTTTGGTAAAAGAAGCTCAGGCTGTACCTGTGTGTGCTGTGACCTGGAAACTACTAATAGCCCCCCAACCCCAATTCTGGACCTCCTTGCTTTCAAGGGGCCTTTTTCACATCCTGTAACAACCCAGGGACTGATTTCATCTCTCCTCTTTTTCTTCTTTACTTCTGAAACTCAGCCTCTAGTGATGGCACCTTAGTGAGTGCTTTAAATGTACTTCTTCTGGCCTTTATGTAGCAGTGCCCTGTCTGTCACATGACCCAGCAACACGACAGGGGAAAGGGAGGCTCCGACATAGCTCTCTTGGTAACTTTCACCCTGTCTCTTTGAATGCATTAACCAGAAAAATGATGGGCGGTCATAGGGGTCCGGACATAGTCCCTGTAATCACTGACTGCTACAAGCTGGTCATTTGTGGGTAAACGCTTCAGAGAGTGTTATTCTTTGTACAGTATGAGATTCTCTAGGGAGGCGACGAATGTCTCTTGTTACATTTTCTCCTTAAAAAGATAGAAATGCACTTTGCAAAATCCGTAATGATTTATTTTTTTCTCTCACGTGCAGCCGAAAATATCTTAAAGCTAATACATTCTGGCTCCTTTCCATATAGAACTACTTGATAACTTAATCCTTGAATTTATGTGGACTTTTAAAGTCAAGGTGCTAGTGTTGATGTTCAAGCCAAATTGATTTTTTAAAAAATCTCTTAAGAATATAACATCATCCAAACGTTTCTTAGTACCGGTGATTTTTGTTATGTAAAGTAAGTGTAACTCAGAATGTCATTTATAATCTGATTTTTTAACATGCACTTGAAAGCAGGGATTTCCCCCTATTGTTTCATATTAATTTTTCAGCTTTATTAACAAACTGAATGGAAGTTTTATTTCCCAGTTAAGTGTGTGTGTGTATCTCACACTGGCGTAAAGTCTGTGTGTGTATCTCACACTGGCGTACTTTACCAGAACATACGACTGTCAGTAAACAGAACTGACACACTATTGACTGAATTATAGGTGAATGTATTCTGGAGGTTTTCTTTCTTTCTTTCTTTTCCAGAGAGGTTTTTTGCTATAGGGCATGTGTGCTTGCCAGAGAAACAGAGAGAAACAGAGACAGAAAGTGAGAAATCACCTCCCAGGGGGATGGCCACACTGCAATCCCTTCTCTTCCATTCTCCTCTTGGGATTTTGGGCATGCACACATACATCCGCAGCATGAGTTTTAAGCTGCCAGGTCTGGGACTTGAACCAGTCACCTCTGTGGGATTCCATCAACGTAACCATTTTGCCATCTGCTGGCCCCTTGGTGATTTTCTGTCTGCAAAATGTGGATAGTTAGATTTTGCTTTTCACTAGGAACCTGGGTAAGTGTTGAGTTGGGGAAGGAAAAGGTTTGGGAGAAGTATACACAG